AGGACCTCTCAGAAGACCTCCATCTCCCCTGCAGATTTTTCTTCCCCCCCCCACCCCCGCCGGCATCTGCCTGACCCGGAGGCTCAGGATCATCCAGTCAGAACGCAAAGAGAGGGAGCTCTTGAGTGGAAGGGCCTCAAACGGTCACCTGTAGACGACCCCAAAGCTGCCCCAGGCCCTGTGCCAAGATGCAGGGGAGAATGGAAAGGAGAGTGTTGCTCACAGGTTGACCTTACTCTGTACGGTAAGTGTGTGTTCCTGAGAAAATTGCACTCAAATTGAATTTTTATAAATGGAATCCTATTTCGGCAATGATTTACAACACTATTTCTGAGATACTTTATCTTCATTTTGAAGTAATGTTCCTAACATTTTAGTTTTAGAACTCCCCTTCCTTTTGTAAGCACTAAGAATGTTCCAGTTAGATGGAGCCATGGAAACCACCAAGTCCTACCTTTTCCACTTCTGGGAAACTGAGGCTTGGAGAGGGAAGAAGACTAACATTTGTCAAGTGCCTGCAAGGTCTCGTGTGCCATTTTTTAGTTCTTTATATGCGTTGTGTTGGCCGATACTCCAATACCATGAAATGGCCTTGGCATCACCCCACTTTGCAGATGAAGAAACTAAGGCTCAGGCAGATTAAATAGCTGACACAGAGACACCCAGCTGGTAAGTGGCTGCTTCAAATCCTCCGAGGATTTCCACTGCCTACCTTATTATGACTTATGAGGGTCTGCATGGCCCAGCCTCTCACTCACACCCCTCTCTCCAACCTCATCGGCTCCCTTTTTGTCCTCCAACCACACCCCGGGGCCTTTGCATTTGCTGTTCCCTCTGCTTTCTCACTCGTTTTGTCCTAGCTGGAATCTCCTTCATTCAGGTATCACTCCTAACTCCCAAGGGATCCTGCCTCCCCAACCATCCACACACCCTCCATTCCATTATTTTCCTTTATTTCCTTCGTAAACTTTCCACTAGGCCCAATGATTTATTTAGTTTACTGTTTATTTATTTACTGTCTCCTCCACCAGAATAGAAGCTCCATGAAAACAAGACGACGTGCCTGTTGTTTCCTGCTGCATCTCTAATCCCTACAGGATCCGGGATCCTCAGTAAACACTTGTAGAACAAAAGAATGCAGTGTCTACACAACTCTGAAGCCCAGAAATCTTGTCATTGCACCAGAAATGTCCTTCTTCCCGTATTTGTAAAATTGTTATTATTGGCAAATAATTTCTCAATAGAAAAGTCCTTTTGTAAAAAAAAAAACAACACTTTTTTAACGTTTATTTATTATTTTTGAGAGACAGAGAACGAGAGGGGGAAGGGCAGAGAGAGAGGGAGACCCAGAATCTGAAGCAGGCTCCAGGCTCCAAGCTGTCAGCACAGACCCTGATGCAGGGCTCGAACCCGCAGACCGTGAGATCACGACCTGAGCCGAAGTCGGATGCTTAACCGACTGAGCCACGCAGGCGCCCCGATAGAAAAGTCCTCTGAAGTCGTCTTAAAATTTAGTTCTTTGGGGTTTTGTTTCTTACCACATATCTGGGCCATCGCAGAGGAAAAATTCTTGCTCAAATGAAAAAAAAAAAAATCCAAGTCCAGAGGTAACCACTGAGTCTTGAAAACCCAAGAGACTGACTCCACGTCCCTTGCAAGGACCTCAGAGAAAGCAAATGACTTATCCCCTAAACTTTTCCTGTGACCAGCTACTCACAAGCCTTGCCCACACTGCCAGGAATTGCTTGGATCATAACTCACCAGCCTGGGCTCCCACTAGCTGTAGAAGAGCCTCCTTCTAGAATCAATGAAAAGTTCACGGAGTCAGCAACCCTTTTTCATGCGCCAGAAGGTGACGGCTGGCGTAAATAATCGTCAAGCGGCCCAGGGTGGGAGGCCTGAGAAGGAGAAGGGACTGTGCCCTGGGGAAGGGGTGGGCGCCACCCCGGGACTCATGTGTAACAGTAAGAACTGTGGAGATCACGCGACACCAGGCACACGCTCTGGGAGCTTTATACCAGTGTTGACTCTGCAAGGAAGGCAATCCATTTTACGGAAGAGGAAACTGAGGCTCAGAGAAGCTAAGAGAATGGCTCCAAGTCATCCAACTGGGAAAGCAGAGTTGAGAATCAAACCATTATCGTTATAAAATGTCCCTCTTTCATCCCCGGTAATATTCTTCCTTCTGACTTTGAATGAGTTATCTACTTGACCTGATGTTAATATAGCCATTCCAACATTCTTACAATTAGTTTTTGCGCGGCACCCCATCTTTCATCCTTTGCCTTTTATCCTGTGTCTTTTTACCAAAAATAATGTTTTCGTACGCAGCGCATTGTTTGGTCTTGCGTTTCCATCCAGTCTCTGAAATGCTGAGTGAAATGTCCGTCCGTTCTTTATTCCTCCTTCTTCTTTTCTCGCCTTCTTTCGGGTTAGGTGAGCGTTTTTCTATTCCATCGTATCTCCATTGGCTGATTAGCTGTACCTCTTTGTTTTATTTTTAGTGGTTGCTCTCAGGTGTAAAATGCATAGCTTTCCATTTGTGTAAGAAAGCTTGAAACCATACACTTTCATTTCTCCCTCTGTCCTTTAGGCTGTTGCTGAAAACGCTTTATTTCTATCTGTACTATAAACGCCCCGATATGAACTGTCCTCTGAAGAAATTGTAAAATGAGAAAAAAAAAACCTTATATTTACCCATATTTTAAACATTTTTAATTTTTTTAATGTTTATTATTTATGTTTAAGAGAGTGAAAGACAGAGAGAGAAAGAGAGAGAGAGAGAGTGCAAGCAGGGGAGGGGCAGAGCGAGAGAGGGACACAGAATCTGAAGCAGGCTCCAGGTTCTGAGCTGTCAGCACAGAGCCCGACGCGGGGCTCGAACTCACAAACCGTGAGATCGCGACCCAAGCCGAAGTCGGACACTCAACCGACTGAGCCACCCAGGCGCCCCTCCCATATTGTTACCACTTCTGACACTTCTGGTTCCTTTATGTGGCTCAGCTTGGCCATCATTTTTCTTGCACCTGAAGAACTTTCTATCACATTTCTCATTGTGTAGGTTGTCCAGAGACAAATTCGCTCAGCTTTTGTACCTCGGGAAAAGACTTTTTTGTGCCTCCGTTTCTGAAGAATGTTTTCTTTTTTTTTTTTTTTTAATTTTTTTTTCCAACGTTTATTTATTTTTGGGACAGAGAGAGACAGAGCATGAACGGGGGAGGGGCAGAGAGAGAGGGAGACACACAATCGGAAACAGGCTCCAGGCTCTGAGCCATCAGCCCAGAGCCCGACGCGGGGCTCGAACTCCCGGACCGCGAGATCGTGACCTGGCTGAAGTCGGACGCTTAACCGACGGCGCCACCCAGGCGCCCCTGAAGAATGTTTTCAATGGCTGTACAACTCTTAGGTAACGCAATTCCCATTATCTTCTGACTTGCATAGTTTCCGGCCAGAAGTCTGTGATCGTTTTTATCACGTTCCTCGGTTTTCTTGTTCTCTGGCCGCTGTGAAGATTTTCTTTTTAACACTGGTTTTGACAAATTTGATAAAGATATACCAATAAGTGTGTGTGTGTGTGTGTGTGTGTGTGTGCACGCGCATGTGTGTGTCTTGTTTGGATTTATCGTACTGCTTGGATGTACGGATATGTACTTTTCGTCACATTTGGAAGGTCTGGGGCCGTAGCTTCTGATGCTTTTCTCCCTTCCTCCCTACCCTGTGGAATCCAAATGACGCGTGGGGGTTCTCAGCCAGGCCGCCTTGCTCCTGCCGCAATGCTTCCTGCCCATAGCGGTGTGGGTCCTGTCGGCAGGTGGAATGGGAGGCATCCGCAGAACCTCCACACAGACCAACCACAGGCCGGCAGCCCCCACACCCACATCCTGATGACGGCCCCGTCCACCTGCGGGCACCAGGGTAGGAGGACTGATCTGCGACACCGGCCAGGAAATCGTCCTTCAAGTCAGACTTTGAGGCTTGGAACACAGTTATCTGAATAGAGGTTTTTCACGCGGGGCTTTCTTTGCAAAGCAACTTTTCCTGCTCCCCGTGGAAAAAGAAGACACCGTCGTGCCGAGCACAGAAAATTGGCGACGCATTTCATTCCCAGAAGAACTCTGACACAGATATTGTTGACTACGTGACATAGATGGGGAAACCGGGCTCGGGAGAAGGAGCTCCCCCGAAGTCACGCAGCAGGTCAACGGTGGGGTCTGGACTCCAGTCCGGAACTATCCGACGCCAAACCCATGGTCTCTATTACCTGGATCTTGGAAAGAGGGCTGGGCGAAGGCTCTGCTCTCACACCTGCCGTGACTGTGCCGGGCCCTCCTTGGCTTAAGGGTCGATACAAGAGGGGCCAGAGGAAGAAACTTTCATTAGCATTTTTTTCCTGATTCTAAAGGTAAACACGTTTACCTTAGACGACTGAGAAAGTACGGAATGATGCACAGGAGAAAGTGAAGGTCACCCCCACACCCCCCCTGGGGGATGATGATGTTGGGAGGGCGGAGCTGGCCCCGTGCTCCCCAAACACCTCCCCACCCACCCGCCCCCAAGATTGCTGTTTGCCCTGGGTGATCATTCCTCCACCACAAAGCCCATCTGGGCCTCTCTTAGAACACGAAGGCTTCGTATTCTAGTCTGACAACAGCTCACTGGGACCTGTGGTGAGGGCAAACCCCTGCTTGAGACTCACAAGTGTCCAGAGGGAAACCGGAAAGCTCACAGGTGGGGCCCAGGTCCTTGCCATGGGGGGTGGAACCCGTCTGCTCCCCGGGAGGGGGAGGAGGGGGAGAAGAACGCCTGCCCCGTGACAGTGTCAGGACGAGCTGGACCGAGGGCAGGAATGGAAGGGGAGCGGGTGGCTCTTGGGAGAAAATGAGCCTCAGAGCGGCCCTCTGTGGGTGGATGGCAGGTGCGGGGGCGGGCGGCTGGGGGTGGGGATGGCCAGAGCCCGGACAGGCCTGAGGCAGGAAGGAGAGAAGCCAAAACAGAGCCAGCCAGCCCCAGGGAGGAGTTCAGACCACCCGGCACTCCTTTCTCAGGGCCAGAGGAGCTGGGGGCAGCAGGGACAGAGCCTGGATTCAGGGAAGAAGCCCCCTTGGTCCATGGATCCGTGTGTCCCACCCCAGAGCTCCCCAGGCCTGCTCACAATATCTTGTCCAGGTAGTGAGGGGGGAAATGTGGGCTGCCCCTCCCAGCAGGACCCTAAGGCAGTCGAAGGGAAGAGGCGGGAGAGATGGGAAACAAAGCCTCCCTCCCCCTGTTCCCTTCCTCCCTTCTTCCCTCCCTCTCGTCCTTCCCTCCCTCCGACACCCTCCCCTTCTCTCCCTCCCTCCCTGTGTCCTCTCTCTTTCTTGGCCTCTTAGGGGCGAATCCTTTTCTCCCAAGAGCTGGGAAGCCACCCTTGTGTCTCTCACTTTTGCCTCCTCCCTCAGGCAGGCCCCTGTCTCTGCTAGCCTCTAACGCGGGTGGCTCTTTATTTCCTCTCCCAGGTCTCAACTGCCCAGGCACACAGGCAATCCCGGGGCGCACACGACTTCACGGTCTGCTTTTTCACGTTACCCCAACATTCTGCCATGTGTCTGCATCGTCATAGCTACGATCTCCTGGGCTCCTTTTCCCTTTGGCACAATCATCGCATAATTCTCCATGGAGAGGACAGACCCAGCTGGCTGACCCAATGCCCAAAGGCCCGATGTTTAAATGGTTTCCAGTTTCTTCACTGGTGTAGGGGACCCAGCTGTCTAGGATCTCGTGTGACTTTTTCTCTGAAGCCTGATGAGCTGACACTGTCAGAGCTGCCACTTCCCAGCCTCCCCTCCGGCCTCTGGGGACGCCGTACTCTGCCCATGTCACCACCTCCCCCAGGAGACTTGGCCCAGGACAGATGGGGGCCTCATTCATTCGCTCATTCATTCCACAACTCCTCCTGTGCCCAGACCCGAGCCACACACCGAAGGTGCGGTGCCCCCCGAGGGAGAAGGCAACAAGTCAAGGGGCAATTCTATCCTAGGATGATACGTACCCTGATGAGAAGACCGTGTGCAGGGAGCAAAGAGGGGCTCCGTATCCTTCCATGAGCTTCCCAGGGAACACACCATCTAGGCTAAGAAAAGAGGAATGAGTGGAAGGCGGCCAGGTAAGTACACAGAGATGTCCAGGAAGAGAGAACTAGCACAGGCCAAGGCCCAGGGGTGAGTGTGCACCCTTCAGGGGCACTAAGACTCTTGGTATGGACAGAGTCCAGGGGGTGAGGTGAGAAATGGCAGGACAGGAGACGAGGGAGTAGAAGGGAGCAGGTGCCAAGAGTCTGTAAGCAGTGATAAAGGGTTGGCTATTATCCTGAGGGCACTAGGGAGCCATTGAAGGTTTCTAATAGAGGAGACACCTGATCAAATTTGAATTTGAGTAAACTCATTCCTCCCACATTCTTTCCCTGGCAGCATCTTGGGCACGAGGGCAGTTCGGAAGGCCTCCGGGAGCATCCTGAGTCAGAGTTGCTGTGGAGGACACACAGGGAAATCATTGCGAGGTCTGAGAACAGAGCAGGGACCCGGGAGGAAGGACAGATCACAGCCAGGCTCCTGGTGAGAGACCTGTGAAGGACGAGAGCCAGGCAGCCGGGGCCTCGGGGAAGCTGGGTCGTCCCTGAGCACCCTGGCCCTTCGCCTCCCCCCCCCCCCCCCCCAGCTGGCTCAGGCACCGCAAACCAGACCGCAGCGCTGCCTTGGAAACTCAGGCCTCCCAGCTCCAATTGAGGCCCGCCCTGCTCCTCCCTGGGCAGCGTTGCCATGGTAACCATTAGAGGTGGCGCAGATTCTCGCTGAGGCTGCAGAATGACATTAATCCTGCCTGAGCGTGGGCGGGAGGGTGGGAATGTATCCTGACATTCCCCATTCGGATGGAGAGTCCTGGCCCCACTCACCTCTCAGGACAAAAGGCCGGGGGCCCACGGGCTTGTGACGAGCGTGATGGGATAGGGGTTGGGGTGCAGAGAATGAGCTCTGTTGGGTCCATGACCCTGCCCCTTCTCTAGGCCACAGGCTCACCCCCTAACCCTGGCTGTCTGCTAAGAGGGGCAAGAATCACTGTGACCCTTCTCAAATGCCTGAGACACATACCTGACAGTCCTCCTGGGGATAATCTTAGGGCAATAATAACGATGCCTATGACGTGGTTGGTGAGCACTCACCGAGCACCGCGCTTGGTGCTTCATATGCAGTCTCCCGGAGCACTCCCTGCAGGGCCAGGAAATACATTCTTCTTTATCCCCATTGCACGGGTGTGGAAATCAAGGCTTTGAGGAGACAGACCCCTGTCCCAGGTCACACAATCAGCAAATAGTGTGCCCAAGGAGGGCCCCCCTGCGTTAAGAGTCGCTGAGGGATGTTTATCCGACAGCTACTGCTGAACGCTGTCTCTGATGGAGAGCTCACTGCCTGAAGGAGCAGCCTTTTGCATTGTGGGGGAACCGAGAGACAGAAAGTCCTTCCTGACAGCGAGCAGAAGCCGGCATCCCTGAACATGCCTTCCCTGGACCCAGGTGTGCCACCTGGGACTTCATGGAGCCTGGCACGGTGCCTGCTGGGCTGCAGCCCCAAGGAGATGCCTTCATCCTCCATCATCCTGGAATAGGACTCAGCAGCCCTAGAAGTTCTGCCACATACAGCTGTCAGAGGGCTGATTAATTGATTGATTGGTATTTGGGGCTCATTCTGCAGCCAGACCCAGGGCTCAGTCTGTGCTCAGGGTTAAGGCTCAGCTGACGGCAGAGCTCAGGGGCTGTGTACCTGGCCAAGGTCAAGGTTACCATCTGTGCCTGGGTCAGAGATCTGTGGACAGACTTTCTGCATGTAAAGCTCCCAGGCCCTTCCAGGGGTCATGCTGCAACCTTGGCCTCATTAGCACGCGACTCTCACCAACCAGCTGAGCCCATCTGGTTTCTTATTAATCTAAAAGTGAGATGTAGCAAGCAGCCTTCTGGGGAGCAGGCAGCTTTGGATAAAACGGCCTGCCCAGTATGTCATCGCTTCCTCTTCCCTGCAGCCAGGAGAGTGTCCTGCCCTCCTCTTGATGGTGGCCTCCACGCCCTTCCCCCATGGCGAGACCACAAAGCACTGGCCGGTGACCGAGCCATGTTTCCTGTGGGTACAAAGGGGAGGCAGGTGGGAGGAAGAGCTGGGAGCAAAGGAAGGGCTCTGTGAGGGAGAGGCACAGTGGGGAGCAGAGGAAGTGGACATCATGAGGTCACCCAAGGTCCAGCTGCACCCAGCTGTCATACCTGCCTCTTCCCTCTGGGGAGATAATTCTCACTTTGCACACTACACTCCTTTGCACAGACTATTCCTGTTACATAAAAAGCCACTTTTGTTTCAATTCCTCGTCACCAAATTCCATTTCCCACCACCCATCCCTCATGGCCTATCTCAGGTGCTACCACCTCCATGAAGTTTTCCCTGATCCTCTCAGGCTGAATAGACCCCTCCTCCTACTGATTTCCTTGTTGGAACTATTGGTGGATGGATCCAACCATTCCTATTAGACTGTGAGCTCTGAAGAGTAGGACCCATGTTTGAGTCATGTCTGTATCCTGTATAACTCCATACAGATAGCAAGTTCAAGGTAAATGCTTATTGGCTGGATAGAAGGACATGTGGGTGGAGGAATGCATCTATCCTAGGCTGAGCTCCCCAGGAAGTAGACCCTGAGGCAGAGTTGAATGTGCAGGATGTTTATTAAAGCATGCCTCAAGGATCCACACCTGTGGAAAGGAGGTAAAGGAAGCAGGACTGGGCGGAAGGGAAGTCAAGCTGCAACGCAGGCCCCCCAAAATAGCTTTGGCTGACACATGAGGAGGCCTGAAGCAAGAACTCATGGTTATTCTGATGGGCCAGGATGGTGAGCCTTTAATACCCATGCATCCATCAGTCATTGGATGTGAGCTGCCCTGGGAGGGGACGTGACCTTCGGCAAGGCAGCTGTCTGTAGCTGAGATAATCCTCGAAGGAAATGACCTCTAAAGGCTTCTTAACACCAGCACTGCTAGCAGTTGAGGCAACAAGTCCCTCACTGCAGGGGGATCTGGGCAGCACATCACACTGTCCACCACAGCTGGACGTGACGGATGATGGGTAGTGGATAAATACATAGTTTGGTAGATCAATGATTGGATGGATAGAGGATGGGTTCGTAGATGGCATGTGAATGGATGACTGGATGAATTAACACGTAGGTGCTGGATGGATGGATGGATGGATGGATGAAGAATGGATAGATGGACGGAAAGATGGATGGATGGATAGTTGAGTGAATGGGTATCTGGATGATGGATGGATGAATAAATGGATGGGTGGATACACAGATGCGTGGATGATGGATGGATGAATTCATAAATACACGAACTTGTGGATGATGAATGGTTGGGTAGATTATTGGCAAGGGATGCATGAATAGATGATGTTTTCTCACCATTTCGTGTCCTTTAAGTAACGGGATCCTCCCAGTTATTCACCTGTTTCTTCCTCTTCCCTTGGGCAGATTTAAGGAGGAAGCCCAAATAGCAACCTTAGCAAGTGACATGATCTAGAGGGTGAAGGAGAACGCTCCAGCATCACCACACAATGTGAGCGGCTCTTGGGGACTGTTGCCTGGATCTACAGACAATGCCTGTAACTTATTAAGACAGATGTGATCACTGGCCCATGACAAGCATGAAGGTGGGGAGATCAGCAAGTGAGCAGTCGGCAGCAACACGGACACCAGGGGTCTGCTGTGAAAGGCAAGTCCCTGCACTGCCAAGAGGAAAGACAAGTCTGACTAATACCAGGAGGGATTGGGGGGAGCGAAGGGGGAGGGCTTCTTCCTTTTACCCTGCCTTCCTGCCTCTCACCTCTGGGGCTTGTGTGCAGAAGCAGGCTGGCTTCCTCTTAAAAACAGAAGCAGTTCTAGTATCGCCCACGACCTCTTCTCTGAGCCACGTACCTCACGCACCCTCTTTCGTTCTCTATGACAATGTTTCCTATCTCCTGGCCATCCTAGGCCCCTCCTTTAAATACGTTCCAGTTCATCTCCTTTCTGGAAGGCAGTAGGACTCCCAGAGAGGCAGACAAGACTGGAGGCAAGCACAACTCTCTCCCCCTATCCTGCTGTAATACAGGCCCAGACCATGGAGGCAGCTTTGCCAGCCATATCATACTATTGATTCATTATGACCCTGCTGACTGCAAAAACCCTAGGTCATTTTTATATTTGCTACTGATGATCTATCTATCCTCCTATTTAGTACTGCAATTTCAGGACCCCTCATTGATTCTGTTAAATTTTATCCTGTTTGGTTTAATGCCATAAAGGTCTTTTCAGATCCTGGTTCTGTTATGAATGGAATTCATCATGTCTCCCAGCACTGTCTTCCCCCAATCTGATGGGCCTGCCATATGCTTTAAGGGCTCCAGAGGAGGCATATCATCTCCCCATTGCCTACTAACTGCCTTTTGTAGCCAATCTCCAAAATAGCCCCCACTGATCCCCACCTCTTAGTATCCACACCCTTGTATAGTCCCCTCCTGCATTGTATCAGGATTGGTCTGTGTGACCAAGAGAATACAGCAGAAGTGACAATATTTCACTTCCGAGATTCCATCTGGGGCTCTCTCTCTCTCTCTCGCCCCATCAGTCCCATGGAAAGGCCCACCGTGCAAGTAACCAAAACCTTTATCAACAGTCAAGTGGGTAAATATAGATGGAAGTAGACCCTCCAGCCCCAGTCAAGCCTCAAGGGATGGCAACCCCAGCTCACATCTTGACCATGACTTTGTGAGAGAACCAGAAATACCCAGCCAAGCCATTCCTAGATTCCTGCCCCTCAGAAACTGTGAAATAATACAAGTTTGTTGTTTCATGCCACTACGTTTGGGGTAATTTTGTTACGTAGCACTGAGTAACGAATACACTTGCATATAGAGAGGAGGAGTTGACAATCAGGTTGTAGGTCCCAAAACATGAGCACAATGCATTTTAAAAGATTACTCACAGGGGATTAGTTCTTTTCTCTTCCTTTTCAGTCACGTATCTGCGCAGTTAGCCTAGGGTCTTCCCCTCCTGCCTGCCCTCACCCTAGCCTCACTATGGGAGGGGGCCAGACCCTCTAGCTCTGTCTTTGGGGCTCTCCTCTCCTCCCACTTGTGCTACAGAAGCAAGAGGTTATAACCCTCTCTTTCATGGGAGGAGGTTTAGTCCCTAGGTATGTTTTAGAACTCGGGCACATTTTGGATCTGGTTTCAGGTGACTTCCTAGTTTGGGGTTTAAAAAGAGGGAAAGCTCCTTACCCACTCCACTTGAGCCTTGAGTTTACTCCATGATAACGTGAGCCCCAGCCCAAATTGTCAGAGAGCTCTTCACTGGAAGTTCAGACACCAACACAGCAAATAATAAAGTGATAATTTGACTACCCATTTGCTTTCCTCCCTTGGGACCCTCAGGCGGGGAGGCTGGCTGTGATGGGAGGCAGATTTCTGGCCAATAAGCACCTCTTTAGACCAGAGCTTCCAAGCTGGTGAGCTGTAAGTTTTGGGTGTGTCTGGCAAATCGATCCCCTCAGGCCTTGAGGTATTGATCCCCTCAGT